AATTGTCACCTATTTGTGAGTAACGACAGGTTACCCACGCTACCGATATCCTGAGCATAGCAACTACTCGGCCTATACTAGTAGGACTCATGGGTAGATATATTTATGCATTTAGTTTCTATAAAATTCCTGTAACTTAAATGCACATCATATATATATATTCAGTGATCATTAAAGTAGGGGTTATGCATCGGGGCTTGCCTTAGGCAGGTGACGGGTTAGCAAAGTCAGCTCCAAAAGGCTCCGGGGCTCCCTCCTGCACAAGGATCTCCCCCTCATACTCCTCGATGACTTCCTTGTACTCCTGTTCGTCGACGGGCACGAACTCTACCAACTCATGATCTACATGCATGAAATGATGATGCAACACCTAGTAACATAGCACAACAACTCTTAAAATAAAAGTACATCTGTCTAACTACTAAGCTAGTGCTACCGACCATGGTACTAAGTTATCTATCGTTACCAATAACAAGTATGAACTATGGCATTCATTATTATAGCAACTACAGGTATTCTTACTCCAATTGTTGATTTACGCTATATATGATAAAGCAAGGATAATAGCTACTCTACTTATCAACTTACTCTAGGGCTACAAAATTTACAGCAAGTACCTAATAATCTAGTGAGCCTACTATAAAATTTTTATATCTATAGCTATCACCAATTTTCCACAAATATTCCTACAAACATTAATCTACATAATACTAAGCTCTTTAGTTTCAATTTATGAACCTACCATCGTCATAGTTAACTATAATCTAACTGTACTAACAAGTAGATGGTAATTTTGCGAATCTAACAAAATTGGTTTCACTATTTTTGGACAACTACACAATTTACTACAATTTTTTAAAGTTCTGTTCGAAACTATATTGAATAAACCTTCAATAATTCACTGAAATAGGAAAACCGAATCCCTTCTTGCGTGGCCCGTTTCCGAATGGCTTGGCCCAACCCCGAACGCCCAGCACTCCGGCGCAGCCCAGCCCACAACGCTCGCGCTCTCACCCGGGCAGCGCACCCGTGCGGCCCAGCGCGGCATGGCCCACGGAAGGAAAACCCACGCGAGCGCTACATTAAGCAAAAGAGCCCTCGGGTTCCCAACAAATGGAACCGCAGTCCATGCCAATATTCCCTTCTCTCACTGACTATAGCATTTAACCCCCTGGTTTGCTTCAAATTTACAACGCGACGTCGTTGGCTGGACTTAACAGAGACCGTGACCCTCCGAAACTAACGCCGGCGAGCATGCACCTCCACGGCCCTGATTCATACCACCATGACACTCCTCAACCCAAGCGCATCCGATTGAGGTACTAAACAACCTGGTTGGTGACGCACAGAGGCATGGCCACTCACCACGGCGGTGTTTGGCCGTGGTGGCGCCGATGCTGGTGAATAAACCTTGCCTAACGCCTCCACCGCTACTCCTTAACCATCTATGGACTGCGTTAAACAATGCAGAAGTCCTAATTGAGCCGCTACTACATTCAAGCGCGTCGGCCACGGAAACGACATCTACCCACGTCTGCCGGGGACGGCCACGCGCGTCGACAAACCTCGGCCCTAATTGAGTCAACCAGCTACCCTAGGAGTAAGAGGGCCTCACCAGACACATGACGGACAGACTGGGCGAAAGCACGAGGCTCGGTAAGATGGTCGGCCATGAAAATGGGGTGACTCTGGTTCCCAGCGAGCACGGCGACGGCGTCTCCGGTGACCCGCGGCTCCACCGGCGAAACCATTACACGAGCGCGATCACCAAGTCAACCATTACGCAAGGCACAACCTAATTGAAACGGTGAAGCACCACACGACGCACTGGCCGTGCGCCCGCTCTGGCGGCCATGGCGGACCGCCGCGAGGGGAACGCCCCGCCTCACCTCACTGTAGGCCGAACGAACGTCGGGGCGACTTCACTCGAAAGCTAACTATCCGAGCTCGTAGTGTGCACAGTTAATTAGAAAACGGTGGAGTCTGTGAGGCCAATTGCAGGGGTGACGCCTACGGACTTATGGCGGCCGGCGACGGCAAAATTTCAAATGGGTGCCCCTCCCATGTTCCAACGCCACAGTGGCCGGTTAGGCACGACGCCGTCCTTCCACTCGACCACCACACGTGCACGATACAAAGAAAAGGGCCAGCGCATCAGTTAGGCTTTGGCGCGGCTCGGCCAGCCGACGACCTCCAAGGCGACGTGACAGGCACTCCTGGCGTGGCCTCACGCGCAAGCGTGAGAACACGGCAAGAAGGACGAGCCCACGCGCGCGCACAGTCAATGTCAACGGGAGCAGTAACTAGACTGCAGCGCCGGACGACACGCAGTGTGAGCGATGCGACGCGATGCGAGCAGCAGCCTCGGGCGGACGCGCTGGAGGAGGGCAGAGCAGCCAGGCATGGCCGGGCCCAGCGCGTGCGTGTGCCGGGTGCTAGAGCAAGGCCGCAGGGGACCCTGGCCAGCAGCGCAGGGCCAACGCGTGGTGTGTGCGCGTGCAGGCGCGACGGTGGCCGGTGCGGGAGCGTACGCGGCGTGCTAGGGCAGCAACGCGGCGCAGCTAGTAGGGTGAGGACAGTGGCAGGGACGGCCAGTGCGGCGGCCCGCGCGTGGTGTGCCCGCACAAGTGCAGCATTGGCGACGTGACCGGCGCAGCAGCGTGCTAGGCAGGCCAGCGCAGTAGTGCCAGGCCGAACAGGGTGGTGACCGCGCCCCAAGCCCTGGCATGGCCCAACCCGTGGCTTGCACGCTTTTTAAAGCCGTTCAAAAACTCAAACCCAAAGATTCAAGAGCCGAACCAGCTATTCTACACTCAAGAGGGTACCTAGGGCTAGCCAACCGTGCCAAAACATCTCGCCACTTCTTAACCCGATTGCTCTACAAAAATTGTCGAACATGACTTCGTCGACCCATTTTCAAACTTACGCGAAATGACTAAACTTCGAACGGTTTCGCGTCGAATCCTTTTTCCAAGCTACTTGATATGCTAGCTAGCGAACCTCGTCCTCGACTGCACATATTTCATTGTCGCCTACGAAGTTCGGGCAACCAATTTTACTACACTCCGCTGATGCGTTCCATAGTATTTCCGTCCGATAAAAATTCAGTTAGAATACTAAACGATACAATGCGACCTGAAGGGTAACATTGGTTTCTTGTTTCAGATGAATGTTTCAAGTGTCGTACATTGATTTATACTTTATGTTACACACATTTACACATAAGCAGGGATGAAAACAGTACGGATATTTTCCGACCGTATTCGAGACCGAATCCGTTTAGAGGGGTTCAGATCTGTCCGTATCCGAGTCCGAATATTCAACATCCGATACTGTATCTGTATCCGAATACTTAAATCGCATATTTATGATGTCGACATCCAATCATATCCTATCCGGCATGACTGACACTATCTGTATTTGAATCCGAATCCGACCAGAAATATGAAAACAAATGTAATATCAACCATATCCGTCCGTATCCGATCCGTTTTCATCCCTACACATAAGTATGATGTTCATGCAGTAGTTTAGCAAAAACTGTACAATGTAACACCGACGGTGTTACAGGTAACTGCTAACCCAGGCTCCTGCCATCTCTGACGGTGGTTGCAAGGAAGGATTGAGCGAAAGGCTTGCTCAAAAGGAAAAGCTAGGCGAGCTGGAGTGCACCAGGTGGTGGTAGCGATGGCTAGGGCAGACTCTACTAATAAAGGCAGAGCGGTCAATGGTCCTGGCACAATCTACCAAGGTTCCTGCGCGGGATTACTATAATGAATCAACCGAATTTTTCGCGCGTTCTTGACGGACGATGCCCGAGGCCATTAATGACTAATACGGCTATAGGGCAAGGGCCCGACAAGAGCGTAGAAAGGAGTATGGGGAGACGTGGGTCACGGCAGGCGTAAACCACCAGCGAACGCGGAGCACGAAGTCACAGTGCAGTAATAACTCCGGAACAAGGACGGGTCAGTCGTGCCCAATATGACTCGCGTGACATCCATGCAGAGCGCATCTATCAGCAATACGGTCACGACAACTAAAGCAGTACCAGCGCGACTGACTTAAAAATCGTATATTGCGCGAGAGTCGGTCCAGCGGAGAAAGCCTAGTTAAATCTATTCCGGCTGCTTAACTATAATAATAGGGCTACTTTTATCCTTCCTCGTTAAACGCCCTAAGTTCTGGTATTTCAGAACAAAAACATATTTTCACTTGCCTCTATAAACACCGAAACTCGTGAAGGATAAGTTACATCCAAGAGATGCTTCTTGTTTTTCTTTTTATTGATATAACTTTTTTTTAAGGCGAAGGAAGTATAACTCTCTCTTTTTGCATTCATAGTTGGGCCCAGCAAAGAGCGGTGAGTGGAACCAACAATTAAACAGATCATGCGTGACCAAATTTTTCCTCATGGCCACCTAAAATACAAGTCCTTTTTCTTATCTTTTTTTCTGTAGTTAGTCGGTTAGTGCTCAGAAAGAATATTCAATTTGCATTTCTGTGCTCAGGACTCGTGACTCATAACTGACGAGGCAATTAAGGTGCAGTGCAGATCACCCTCTTTTTTTACATGTCACTGGACTCAATTTTGCGCTGGAAGGAACGAAGCTGCATTTTCTTCTTCCTCGATTGATCCGCTGTAATGGAAGACATTAACGACAGCTGAAAGCGCAAGATAGCAGCCGCACCTGCGCCCGTGCCTTCCTGGAGCCTTCTTCTTCTTCTTCTTCAACTGTGCTCATCCCATCACGTTCACGGTACTGTACATGCCACTAGCTAGCTCCATCAAAACTCTGATTTTTATGCACCCATCTTGACATGAGACAACCACTGACCCACCCATTTTTCGCTCTCCCTGCCATGCCATTCCCGTGAGACCCAGACTGACAGACAGAGTTGCTGCGACTGCGAGTGCGAGGCCGAGGCCGAGGCCGAGGCGAGCTCATTCACTAGCCCAAAAGTTCCAACTGTTTTTACCTCCGGCCGGCCATCGGGCCATGGCCGCAACGCCGGAGGACGTCGCGGAGCCCGAGCCCTTCTCCCCCTCGGTCTTCCTCGACCTGCCTCCGACGCCCCATCCCCAACCCGACGGCGACGGCGAGGACCTGCAGGCCTCGTCGGACGACATGGTGCTCCCCTTCATCCGGCGCATGCTCATGGAGGAGGAGGAGGACACCGACGACAACATCTTGTACCAGCAGTACCCCGACCACCCTGCGCTCCACCTGGCACAGCAGCCCTTCGCACAGATCCTCTCGGCGGGCTCCACCTCCACTGCGACACACACGCACGCCGCCGCCAACGAGTCTGCTTCCGGCTCGTCGGCCACCACCAACTCCAACGGAGCCCCCGCATTCGCCAACGCTACCTGGCCATATGATCCAGTCGAGCTCTCCCAGCTGCTCCTCTGTAGGACACGCTCCGGCACGGGAGCCGGACTCGACGGTTTCACCGGCGGTGATGCCAACAACTCCTTTTCCTCGCCGGGACAAGGCAGCGTCAGTGCGTGCGGCCAGGCCCGCGCGTTCTTCAATGGCGGCGACACGGCCACCATCCAGAGCTCGATCCTGGGGTTACCATGGACATGCTCAACCAGGCGTTCCTCAAGGGAATGGAGGCCAACAAGTTCTTGCCCACCACCACCATCGCCATTATTGGAGTCGACAGCGACGCCACCTCCAAAGAGAACCTGCCCATCAGGGAAGGCAGCATGCTGCCTCGTGTCTTTGCCTTACCCAACACCAACAGTGTGAGGCTGCAAGAACCGGCACAACTGGGATGACTTGGACGACGACGCCGAGACCGACAGGAGGAGCAACAAGCTGCTGGCACCTGAGCCGGAGGAGAACAGCGAGCAGGTCGACGACGTGTTCGTCAAAGGATACGAGATGGCCATTGAGAAAATGCATGGCCTGAGCATCAGCGACAACAACGGCAGCGCGCCCGACGGGAAAGCGAAGAGGAAGTCAGCAGCGCAGGCCAACGAGGCGGTGGACCACTGGACCTGCGCACCTTGCTCACCCACTGCGCGGATGCCGTGTCCACGGGCAACCGCCGCAGCGCGGCCGAGGGGAGACGCCTCACAGAGGCTGGCGCACTGTTTCGCCCAGGCGCTCGAGGCGCGGCTCGCCGGCACGGGGGCGCAGGTGCACAGGTAGCTCGTGGCGAGGCTCACCTCCGGTGGTGTGGACTTCCTCAGGGCCTACAAGCTGTACCTGGAGGTTTGCTCCTTCAAGATGATCGCGTTCAAGTTCGCCCACATCGCCATCTGCAAGGCCATTACAGGGAGGAAGAAGGTGCACATCGTGGACTACGGTGAGCATCACGGCTTCCACTGGCCACCTTTGCTGAAGGCGTCGAAGGATCGGGACGGCGGGCCGCCGGAGGTGAGGATCACGAGCATCGACCGGCCGCAGCCCGGGTTTCGTCCGGCTGCTCCGATCGAGGAGACCGGGCGCCGGCTCAGTGACTTCGCTCGCCGGCGTGGCATTCCGTTCAGGTTCCGCAGCGTCGTCGCGTCGAAGTGGGACTGTGGGAGATGGTTTGCGCCGACGACTTGGACATCGAGCCTGACGAGGTGCTCATCGTCAATGGCCTGTTCCATTTCGGGAAGCTGATGGACGAGGGCGTCGACATTGACAACACAAGCCCTAGGGATATGGTCCTGTACTGCTACTCAGCGATGTTTGACATCATGGATGCAACGACTCCACGGGACAACGAAGAACGCTTGCTGGTTGAGCAGGACATCCTGGGGTGTTACGTCTTGAATGCCATTGCCTGCGAGGGCTCAGAAAGGGTGGAGCGTCCCGAGACATATAAGCAATGGCAGGTGCGAGGCCACCGTATTCTGAAGGATGGCTACCACAAGGACTTTGTGGTCGATGTGGGTCAACAGTGGCTCCTTCAAGGGTGGAAGGGGCGTATACTCTATGCCATGTCGACATGGATTGCAGATGATGCTATCTCACATAGTTGTAGCCATCCATTCAACAAGCACGATACATGTTTCTGAATCACCTATGAGCAACATCATCACTAGCTGTTAGGAAGTTGTGGTTCAGCAGTATTGACTTCACTGAAACATGGTCTGACAAATTAATAACGTATATAGGAGAATAAGTATTGACATAGTAACTAATGTTTTGTAAAATGACATGCATAAATATATTCTCATGTTTGTCCTTAGGATCTTAGATATAAGTTCTTGGGCAGGCTGACGCAGAGCTTGTATTCTGTAAAATATAATAGTAACCAGAAGATCCTTATGCGTCTTTAATTTTTACCAGTTGATTAACAATTTTATGGATTGCTTGTTTGAATTTTTGTGAAATGAGGTATTTATATTGTGAAGTTGAACTGGTTTGAGTGGAAGGTGTGGTCACGCATACAAAAGATGCACCAAGGTTTGGTTGAGTCCTCTCTAACACGAACCTGCTTCTTTTTTCATTGATATTTTTTTTAATATGTTGATGCTTAGATCGGCTATGCACTACAAGGTGTCAGAACGCTAGGATCGCAAACAGGTTGAAGGCGGGCCAGATTTGTCCTAGCAGACTTTCAAATCGGCTATAACCTAAAAAGTGTGTTCATAGACGAACACTTCACCTTATGCCAACGACGATGAGCGCGACACGCAAAACACATCATCGGAGGAGCCATGTTGAGAGCGCAATACGCGAGAGACGCTAGCGAAGTCTCTTGAAACCTGAAACCCCACATGCCCAGGAGACACCCCATCGAGGCATGGGGCGACTATGGGTTGCCATACCGGCCTGAATGCTCTAGAGCTTCATGTCATTGAACCAATAGCCATCAGCAGAAATAAAGGACGAAAATCAATTAAAGATTGGAAAAGTAAGGTAGCGGATAAAACTAAGATAGATTGGTTTCTTTGTTTGTTATGTGTTCGACACCTTAATCAGCATTGTTCTCACGTATACAGAGAAGGGATGGTCTATCACAGTAGGAAACCTGTTCCATATATAATCAACAAGTTTCCTACATGCTGATTGGGCAAGTTTCCATAGAGATTGGCTTGAAAATGTCTCGCATAGGTAAAACTGGCCTTGGCTGGTTGTTTAAGTTTTGTGTTTTTACTGCATTGGACCCTTTTCGGATGCATTTGAGTTTCCAATATGACATTGGACCTCCCGATTATATTTTTGTTGTCAACAAAATGTAAAAGACATTTTCTATTGGTGTATACTCACTCCATCCAAAAAGTAATGCACATTTCATTTTTCGAGAAATCTCTTATTTTTAAATTGATCTGAATTTATAGAAAATAGTATTAACTTTGTATCTCTAAATAGATTTACAATATATCATGTGTCGGTGTTTTGGACCGGCGGGTCCTCAACCAACGAGTGAAAATGTACTGCGTGTCCCTATCCCGGATGGTGATGCAAAGAGACACAAGGTTTATCTTGGTTCGAGCAATAGGTGCCCTACGCCCCGGTCCGAGAGAGCGATCTTGTATTCCTTGTAACGAAGTGCTTGTAGTAGGGTTTACAAGCAGGGCGAGAGAGGGGTTAGTCCTGTGTCTCTGCGTGGAGCGGCGTGGGTTGCTTGAGATGTTGATCTCTCGCTTGAGGAGGCGTCGTGACATGAGTATTATTGCTGCTTGCTTGCGTGTGTCTATCTCGAGCAATGTCTCCGTGAGTGTGTGTTCGTTCGTTGGGGTGTGTGTCCGCCCTTTAGAAATGGCCCTGGTCACCCCCTTTTATAGTTGAAGGAGAGGACAGGAGCGGTACATGCGTTCGCTACGTGGTGTTTTGTGAGCGGAGGCGGTGTGTCCGAGCCCTGCGCTTGTCACTGTGGCGGTGTGGTCGGTGGAGCGGTCGTGCCGGTCATGCCTGGTCCCGCGCGACGTGGGAGCTCCTGTGGTGGCAAGCGTTTTGAAGCGTGCGGTTCTTTGTATGTCCGACCGGCGTGGAGTGCCGAGGCGGGTTGATGCGATGGCGCAGGTGTGTCGCGACTCGAGGAAGCAGGAGCTTGGCCTGTGGCGCGACGTGGGAGCTCCCAGCCCTGACGCAGGTATGGCGATTCGATTCAAGGGCGGCGTGCAGGTGTTGACAACGTGAGAGCCGAGGCCCGGTCGATGCAGAGGCTGGGCGTCGTGGGGGGCTCGGCGGGTGCGAGTCCCGAGGCTACAGGAGCCCGGATGCGAAATAGCCGAGGCTCGGAGGGAGCAGTTGGTTTTTTATGCTGATTACGAGGCTACAGGGACCTGGACTTGACTCTGTACGCCATGCTGTCCTTGGAGCAGGTGGGGTTAGGCAGCATAGTGCCGCATGGGTGTCAGTCGTGGGCACAGTGCCGAGCACAGCGGCCGGTAACCCCTGCCCCGTCCTGTCCCGGACTGCATGGCGCCGATGCGACTCCCGTCCTGTCGGCCACTCTGCTGTACTGCGCCGGCGTGTGGCTGACGTTGCGGGAGTGGTTGAGTGCTTCAGTTGGATGTGACGCTTCGTCAGGGAGGTCGGTCAAAGCTGCGGCGGGGCAGATGCCGAGCCGGCCTCGGGCGAGACGGAGAATCGGTACCTCGTCCGAGGCCTTTCGGGCGGGGCCTCGGGCGAGGGGTCTCGGGCGAGGCGGAGAGTTGGTACTTCGTCCGAGGCCCTGCGTGTGGGCCTCGGGCGAATCGGAGAATCGGCCGAGGCCTTGCGGCGTGAGGCCTCGGATGAATCGGAGAATCGGCCGAGGCCTCGTGGTTGTCTTTTGGCTTTGATATTTACAAGGTCTAAGCAGTTTTTTTTTCGGTTCTTACTTATGGTACCCTTTTTATGGTATCCGACATCATGATTAGTTTAATAATAATTATTCACTATCATAGATATTAGTATTTTTCAATAAACTTGGTTAAAATTAAAATTACGATACGTGTATTCATTTTAGATGGAGGAACATAAGACTCAGCAATGGTTAGGCTCAGCGGAGAGCAGTCAGTGAACCGAACAAATCGTGCGAGGGTCACATTTTTCCTCATGACCTGGACTTGCCACCTAAAATACATAAGTCCTTTTCTTTTCTGTTAAAAGTTAGTGCTAAGAAAGGATATTCAATTTCTACGTGCTATTTCTCTGTCCTTACTAATGAGGTGTGGTTACATCACAGATCGCATTTTCTTACAGTCGTCTAGCTATATCTGAACGCAAAGTTTATTACGCGGCCGCCACGCGCTCGCGCGACCCGCGCGCCCGCGCCGCCCCGACGAAGAGGAAGAGGAAGGAGCCTGCGCACGCGTCGGAGAGGAAGGAGGAAGCTCGGGTTCCAGCGAGGGGGTCGTCGGCATCGGAGACGATGAGCTTGCCGGCCGTGCCCTCTTTCTTCTCTAATTCCGGCGAGCTTACAAGGATGCGGAGGGGAAGGAGGTCGGGCAGCTTAGGGGCCCTTGCGGCTGGGCAACGGAGGGCGGGGGCGCCATGGCCGGAGGGAGGTCGCCGCTGCCGGAGCTCGCCGGAGGAGGTCGCCGCTGCCGAAGCTCGCCGTCGCGGGAGGGGGAGGGGAAGAAGGCGGCTGCCGCGGAGCCGGCAAACCCTAGCGTGCCGCGGCGGGTCGGTGGTCGGCGACGGGGTGAGGACGAGGAGGAGGGCGGGGCGGAGCAGCGAGGGTGGGTTGAGGGCGGCAATTTTGGGCTAGAACGTTGATGCATTTCTTCTTCTTTCCTCAGTGTACTCACTTGGTCCCAAAATACTATTCAAATACTTGACAGTCTCACTTTCGAATGGACCTTTCTTTTATCTCAATACACCTTTCTCTTTTCTCAATCATCTATATCTCTATTTCTCTATCTTTCCTTCTTGTCTTCTTTGCACAGCAACTTTTTAATTTTCTTTAATTATCGCGTCTAAACTAAAACATCTTCTACTTTAAGACGGATAGAATAGCAGATAAAGTCCTTTCTACATTGTTCGACAGAAGGAAATGTACGTCAGGTCTCTGTGAGATCTGACTGACGCATAGCATCTGCATGCACCTTCACGGTGCCCCTGCCATCACGTCAACTCCCTCTTCAGTTTACAAGCTGCATCAATCAATGCTCTGATTTTTATGCACACCCATCGGCCATCGCTGCCATATTGGACCTGTTTGCTCCCTCTAAAATGATTTCTCAATTTTTCAGCAGTCAAACGATTTAAAGTTTAACTAAAGTTATATTTAAAAATAATAAATATTTATGATATAAAACAAGTATTGTTAAATTAATTATGAAATATATTTCTTATAATAAATCTAGTAGAAGACATAAATATTAGGGTGTGTCTCCGCTGCAAGTGGCTGCAGTTTTGCTTTTTCATCAGACGACGATGGCAGCCATGGGATCCTAATCCTACCGCTCAGGAGTCATCTTCAACCTCCTCCCGTCCCTCTTCTTCCTCTGCCCACCTCCTCGCCCTCGCCGCCGCCGCCGCCGCCCCGCCGCGGGCACGCTAATGTTTGGTTGGAGCTCCGCGGCCTCCGGCGAGAAGAAGCTCGCGAGGCTGATCGGACGAGAAAAAGCCTCCGCGAAGTCAGCTTCCTTCGTCGCCGTGAGACGGAAGATGGAAGGCTGCGGTCCCTGGAGATGGAACTCCTTACGGCCTTAGTAGGGTGGTTGGAACAGGCGCGTAGAATGACCATAACGTCCTTGTGTTCCAGTGAAGTTGTACCTAGCTAGCTCAACGATGGCCAGGATGGTATTGACTGACACAGAGATGGGCTGAACAAGGATTGGGCTCCAGTCTCAAGAGTCCTAGCTACTTACTGGCTTTTACTTTTCATCATTTTTTTCATATATGTACTCCCGGTTTTCTGAAGTTCATTTTCTGTTATATACCATTAGATTAGATTTGGTGCTTCCCTTGCGTTTGGAAAAGAAGAAAGCAGATGCATGACTAAGCACTGAAGTTGTACGGATGGGTTTTTCTTGTTCGTCGACGACTATTAGTGAATAGCGTACAGGGGCTGCAGTGCAGCAGGAGAAAACGAAGAGCTGAATCAAGAGAGAGACCAGAGGCATGTTTGGATCCTTTGTTGAGTAGTATCATATCGCCTCGCCGAGGCCGAGCTAGGAACTGAAACGGGCAGCGCACGCCAGCAAGCTTTCCCTCTGCTGCTTTAACATAGGTTGGCATAAACCTTCTTCTATCCGTTTAAAGCTTTACTTTAGTCTAACACCGTGGAGGGCCTAAGCGGATGGAATTGATACCGATAAGGCCCTGTTCGCTTGAACTTATCGGCCCGGCTTATCGTCCATGGTATAGTGTTTTTTCTCACAACAAAACAACATCAGCCGACTTATCAGCCGCAAAAACCATCAGCCGAATATGACGAGTAATGGCGCTAAAAAAGAAGTTCCCCACTGCCCATCTACTGTATAAGTTTGTTTTTACAATCTACTGTATAAGTTAGCAGTCTGTAATAAGCTGACTGTGGTGGGTGAATTTCTGAAGCGGTTGCAATCGTCATGCAAACGTGGAGGTTTGTTGCATCAGAGAAAACGGTGAACGAACTCAATGTCAAGGCAGACGCTTTCTACATTTTCCATCAGGTGCAGTAAAACGATCGGGACCTGTTTTTTCAGTAAAAAAGCAGAAACCGCCGCTGAGAGGGGATCTTCGATCTTCAACGACAGCGACTTTCGATTGCTCGTGCGTTTCAGGCGTACTACAGTGTTTCGATTGAAACCGCATAATATATAATATCTCATTGGCATAGAGCAACCCATGCCCCTTCCACCCTTGCAAGAGCCATTGGTGATCCACATCAACCACAAAGTCCTTGTCTGCATGGGTTGCCAATGATAATATCTCATTGCCATAATATATAATATCTTTGTAATATATGTGAGATGCTTGATTAGGAGGAGTTGTAATCTTTTTGGAGGCATAGGAAGAGTAATTAATATGTAGCCAACAACCAATTTTATGGATTACTTGTTTGACTGTCCATGTGGTAAGGTATCTGTCCTAAGAAGTCTGGTCACGTGAAGCTGACAAAACAATTTTAATGATTAGTGGTGAGGTATATATTTGTACGTCCTGAGGATTTCACATCTGCTGTAACATCCCGAGGATTTTGGCAGTTCCCTTGGGTCTCCAAAGTGGAAACTTGCGTGTGATTCAGCATGAAAGCATCATCATACCGGTTCTACAAAGTACTCCTGCCTGTCCCAAAAGAATAGTTTTAAAATAAATCTGCAAGTTTTTCTACATTTACTAAATTTATAGAAAATAAGATCAACATTTATGTCTTGCAGATATGTTTACTATTTGAAGAGATGACATGCTGGCGATTGAAAGAAACAAGAGGCCACCTCTAGCAGCTACAACCTAACCCAAAGATAGTCTCTGGACCTACTCCTTTGCGCCTACAAAACACCATAGTCCAAATGGCACCCCTCCAAAATAGTCGTAACTACCAACCATACATCTAGGGAAAAACAAGTGAAAATGCAGTCAGCAAGCATGATTGTAAGCACAACTATGTTTGGCTTAACGCCCCTCCTACAACTCGATTGTAATGATCCTTCTTAATAAATGAAGCGAAGTCGTTATTCCAAAAAAAACTAATATGGTAACAAATTTTAAATTTAACTTGCTAAGAATTTGCAGTTAAATTTTTCAAAATTAAAACAAAATTTTGAAAAAAAAATTGCTACCCCCACTCACCCCACCCTAACAAAGAGAAAAATGACTTTTCAGGCTCTGCCATGCTAATTTAGATAGTTTCCACACATGGTGACCTTGCTAGATGGTTTGCTAGATCATCTCTAAAAGTTCTAAAAAAATTGTTAAATCAATGAGTTTTTCAAGAGGCTAAGAAAAAAGTTGAGAGTATATTTGCTTGGTTCCTACAACCGTTTCAAAAATCTCCACAAAAACTTTTATATTTTCCACTGTCCACTGTACGTAGTCTACTGACAGGAAGACGATGCAGTTCGGTAGCCGGTCACATCTGTCTGCCTTCCCCGAACCTTCTCCTTGCTGTCACAGCTCTTGACTATAGGCCACCCAGGTGGCCCGGCCCGAGTGTTGTCCCTCCTCCATCGACCATGACCCATTCCATTTCCGTCTTGGTTCTTCGTCTTCACCACGGAACACCACCTCCAGCACCAGTGAAGTGGTGACCGCCGGCCGGCAATGGCAGCCGAACCGGAGGACATCCCCGACGAGGAACCCTTCTCCCCTTCCATCTTTCTTAACCTGTCCCCGACTCCTCCGCACCCCGGCGATGAGCAGGACCCGGCGGCAGCCTCGTCATCCAACTCGTACCACCAAGCTCCGCAGACCTCCACTGAGATCCTGTCCATCGTCTCCGACCCGTGCGTCGCCAACACCATTGATGTCGGAGTAGGCACATGCTTCCCCGACACCGCCCCCGTGTGGGACGGCGTGACCTGGCCTACGACCCGGTCGAGCTCTCGCAGAAGCTCCTTTCTTCTACGACTACTCCTCCATACCCAAACAGCATTGGACGCGACGGCGGACTCACCATGGGCCTAAGCTGATAGAATTGTCACCGATGCACCCATTTAATTAGCCTGGTCACTTTCAGTAGTAGTCCTCATTTTCTTCTTTTCCTTGTCTGTCTCCTGAACTTTCCCAGCGCCCCTTTCGGTTTTATTTGTAAGCTGAACTATTTTGTTGTTTAATATAAATGAATGTGCTGTAGGGTACAAACCCCTCCAGTTTCCCTCAAAGAAAAGATAGTTGCGTATAAGTTTTAGCAGTCTGTAATAAGTCTAGAGTTCACTGTGGTAGGTGAATTCCTGAAGGTGGTTACGTGTTAGAATCGTCATGCAAGCGTTCAGGTTCATAGTGTCAGAGAAGACAATGAATGAACTCGTGTGAAGGCAGACCCTTTCTACATTTTCCATCAGGTGCAGTAAAACGACCGGGACATTTTTCAGTAAAGAAAAAGCAGAAACCTCCACGGAGGCCGGAGGGGATCTTCAACGACAGAGCGTGTGCTCGAGGCTCGGCTGCTCGTGCGTTTGGATTGAAAACCGCTTTTCGTCTTCCTTGGTCTCCATCGTCCACAGTCGTCTGCTCTGCCCTGCTCAGAGGAGAAAAGAAAAACAAACATTTCCTGACTCTGCTGCGTACACGGTCGCATCTGGCGGCCTCCTCCTCCACTTGCTGCCCATATGATCCGTCCCGGTCCCGCCCCGGCGTCGTCAAGGTCCAGTCTAGCTTCCCCTGTTGTTTAACGAAAAGCTCCGTTCCGATCCATCAAATTCAGAGCTCTCTTGTTTTAAGCTGTGCCTCCCGTTGATCCATCCCATCCATATCTCTCATCAGCAGTGCAGTGAGCGACTAGCAGTGCGCACGCAGTCGCCGGCATAAAGATTCAGTTTTTATCGCCTCCCAGCCATGGCTGCCAAGCCAGAGGACCTCGCCGACTCCCAGCACTTTTCTCCGTCGGACTTCCTCAACCTTCCACCGACGCCCCGCCTCGACTGCCCTGCCCTGCAGCTGCAGGACGACGATGACGACCAGGTGCTCCCCTTCATCTCGCGCGTGCTCATGGAAGAGGAGATGGACGGCTTCTTCGACCCGGACCACCCCGCGCTACTCCAAGCCCAGCAACCCTTTGCCGATATCTTGTCCATCGTCTCCGACCCGTGCGTCGCCAACACCATTGATGTCGGAGTAGGCACATGCTTCCCCGACACCGCCCCCGTGTGGGACGGCGTGACCTGGCCCTACGACCCGGTCCAGCTCTCGCAGAAGCTCCTTTCTTCTACGACTACTCCTCCATACCCAAACAGCATTGGACGCGACGGCGGCCTCACCATGGGTGATGCCGATGCCGCCTCCTTGCTGGCGACGCCTGCTAGTGCTAGCGACGTTGGAGAGCACGACGCGCTCTTCTCCAGTGGTGGCGCCGGCGAGACGGCGGCAGCCCGGAACAGGGTAACCATGGACATGCTGAACCAAGCGTTCCTCAAGGGCATGGAAGAGGCCAACAAGTTCTTGCCCACCAACAACACCCTCCTCATCCACTTGGAGTTGGAGACCATCTCTGAGTCCGGGGACAGACACGGCATTGCTGCTGGACAGAAACGCCATAACCGGGACGACAACAACTTGGAGGTCGAGGCAGGCAGAAAAAGCAAGGTGGTAGCACCGGAGCCAGAGGAGACAGGGGAGATGGTCGACAGATTCATTCTAGTTAGGTACCAGTCGCTGCTTGACAAGATGATGGACATGAGCATCGCCGTGGACAGCGAGGCCGAGCAGAAGAGCAGGAAGGGGAAGAAGAAGAAGTCTACCACTCCCATGGCGGCGAGCAGCAGCAAGGAGGAGGTCGTGCACTTGCGCGCCTTGCTCCTACAGTGTGCACATGCGGTGGCCACAGGAAACCGCCTTGGCGCGACCGAGCTGCTTTGCAAGATCAAGGAGCACTCCTCGCCTACGGGAGACGCCACACAGAGACTGGCATATTGTTTCGCCCGTGCACTGGACGCACGGCTCGCAGGCACCGGAAGCCAGCTGTACAGGTCGCTCATGGTGAAGCACACCTCGGCCATGCAGTTCATCAAGGCCTATCAGATGTACCTCGCGGTCTCCTGCTTCAAGATGATGGCGTTCAAGTTCTCCAACCTAACCATCTGCAAGGCTGTCGCTGGTAGGAGGAAGAAGCTGCACATTGTCGATTATGGCGAGCATTACGGGTTCCACTGGCCAACCCTGCTTGGCTTCTGGGGCACGCAAACCTGGGACGAAGGACCACCGGATGTGAGGATCACCTTCGTTGGCCTCCCTCAACCAGGGTTCCGTCCGGCTGCTCGGATTGAGGAGACTGGACGCAGGCTCAGTGCCTTTGCTCGTCAGTGTGGCATCCCTTTCAGGTTCCGCTGCATCGCGGCCAAGTGGGAGACGGTCTGCGCCGATGACCTCGGCATTGAACCAGATGAGTTGCTCGTCGTCAATGGCCTCTTCCATTTTGGGAGATTGATGGACGAGGGCATCGATGGCATATACACTCCAAGCCCTAGGGACGTGCTCCTCGGCAACATCCGGAAGATGCGGCCACATGTGTTCATCCTTTGCGTCGAGAACAGCTTACACAACGCGCCATACTTTCCAGGACGGTTCCAAGAGGCACTGTTCTACTACTCCTCGATGTTTGACATGATGGATGCAGCGGCGCCACGGGACAATGAGCAACGCTTGCTGGTTGAGCAGGACCTCTTTGGACGCCGTGTTCTGAATGCCGTCGCCTGTGAGGGTTTTGATAGGGTGGAGCGTCCAGAGACGTATAAGCAATGGCAGGCACGGAACGACCGAGCAGGCTTGAGGCAGCTGCCACTGGATCCGGATATTGTTAAGGCTGTGAGTGACAAGGTTAGTGACAACTATCACAGGGACTTTGTCATCTATGTGGATCAAAATTGGCTCCTGCAGGGATGGAAGGGACGCAAACTCTATGCTATGTCCACATGGGTTGCAAACGATGGTTGTATTTCAAATCCTAGCTAGCTAGCAACACGAGGCATGTCTTTGTAATATACTTATGTGACATGCTTAATTAGCTAGGTTGTACTATTTTTTTCAGCAAGCTTTTCTTGAGCTGCCAAGAGAGTCAAGTTGGCGTAAACCTTGTCTCTCCGTTTTAAGCTTCACTTTAGTCTAACACCATGGAGCCAGTGGCGGATCAAGGAAAAATTTTAGGGGGGCTGAACAACACGTACCTCCGACTGCTGCTCGATCTTAAGTTTCAGCCTCACCTACACTATAGAACTTTGGCCTAAAATTTTATGGGGGCTCCAGAAGATTTCCACTACTCTGGTATGGGCAGGGATCCGCCCCTGCATGGAGGGCCTAAGCTGATAGAATTGTCACCGATGCACCCATTTAATTAGCCTGCTCAGTTTCAGTAGTAGTCCTCATTTTCTTCTTTTCCTTGTCTGTTTCATGAACTTTCCCAGCGCCCGTTCCGGTTTTATTTGTAAGCTGAACTATTTTGTTGTTTAATGTCAATAAATGTGCTGTAGGGTGCAAACCCCTCCAGTTTCTCTCAAAGAAAAGATAGTTGCGTATAAGTTTTAGCAGTCTGTAATAAGTCTAGAGTTCACTGTGGTAGGTGAATTCCTGAAGGTGTTACGTGTTAGAATCGTCATGCAAACGTTCAGGTTGATAGTGTCAGAGAAGACAATGAATGAACTCATGTGAAGGCAGACCCTTTCTACATATTCCATCAGGTTCAGTAAAACGACCGGGACATTATTCAGTAAAGAAAAAGCAGAAACCTCCGCGGAGGCCGGAGGGGATCTTCAACGACAGAGCGTGTGCTCGAGGCTCGGCTGCTCGTGCGTTTGGATTGAAAACCGCTTTTCGTCTTCCTTGGTCTCCATCGTCCACAGTCGTCTGCTCTGCCCTGCTCAGAAGAGAAAAGAAAAACAAACATTTCCGGACTCTGCTGCGTTCACGGTCGCATCTGGCGGCCTCCTCCTCCACCTGCTGGCTGCTGCCCATCCGTCCCGGTCCCGCCCCGGCGTCGTCAAGGTCCAGTCCAGCTTCCCCCGTTGTTTAACGAAAAGCTCCGTTCCGATCCATCAAATTCAGAGCTCTCTTGTTTTAAGCTGTGCCTCCCGTTGATCCATCCCATCCATATCTCTCATCAGCAGTGCAGTGAGCGACTAGCAGTGCGCACGCAGTCGACGGCATAAAGATTCAGTTTTTATGGCCTCCCGGCCATGGCTGCCGAGCCAGAGGACCTCGCCGACTCCCAGCCCTTTTCTCCGTCGGACTTCCTCAACCTTCCACCGACGCCCCGCCTCGACTACCCTGCCCTGCAGCTGCAGGACGACGATGACGACCTGGTGCTCCCCTTCATCTCGCGCGTGCTCATGGAAGAGGAGATGGACGGCTTCTTCGACCCGGACCACCCCGCGCTACTCCAAGCCCAGCAACCCTTTGCCGATATCACTACCGGAAATCGGCACTTTGCCGAGTGCTGGAGACTTTGCCGAGTGTATTTTATCGGGCACTCGGCAAAGACGGTCTTTGCCGAGTGCCAAGTAAAATACACTCGGCAAAAAAAAAACACTCGACAAAGATGTATTTTGCCGAGTGCCATTTTTTGGCACTCGGTAAAATGCGTCTTTGCCGAGTGCCTTTTTTCTGGCACTCGGCAAATATGTATTTTACCGAGTGCCTTTGTTTTGGCACTCGGCAAAGAGGCATTTTGCCGTGTGTATTTTTTTTAGCCCTCGGTAAATTATTTTTTCAAAGCAATTTTTGAGGCCCTAAATGAATTCAAATGAAAAAAATTTCAACTACAAAGTTGTATAACTTCTCAAGATCTACAAAGTTTATTTTGGTCATTTCTTCATTTGACAAAGCGACAATAACGTTGTTCATAAAATCTACATCTCTCTCATATCTCTCATTTCATGAAAGTAGAAGAGAGATATATAAGATTTGTGAACAATGTTACTACCACTATGTCGGATGAATAAATGATCAAAATAAACTTTGTAGATCTTGAGAAGTTATGAAATTTTGTAGTTGGCAACATTTTAATTTGAAATCATCTTGTCATGCAAAAACGACGTTTGAATTTGAAAATTTTAAAATTTGAATTATTCAAAAGACCTCGGATGGAAAAACTTCCTAAATGAAAATTGTAGATCTCCAAAAGTTATGAAACTATGTAGTTGACAACTTTTTGATTTGAAATCATCTTATCATGCAAAACTACGTTTGAATCTCCAAAATTTGAAATTCGAATTTTTCAAACGACCTCGGATGGAAAAACTTTCTAAATAAAAATTGTAGATCTCGAAAAGTTATGAAATTTTATAGTTGACCATTTTTTTATTTGAATTCGTTTAGGACCTCAAACAAACAATTTACTCTCAGTTTAAAAAAGCAATTTAAAAAATATGTTATAGAAAAGAAGAAAAAGAAAAAAAAACTGAAAAAGAAACTGAATTTACCGAGTGCCTCACTTCTGACACCCGGCAAACAAGGGGTTTGCCGAGTGCCAGTTTTTACACACTCGGCAAACCCCCACTCGTATACCCCCGCATCCGGCCGCACACACCCAGACACGCGCACACCCACCCGCGCCGCACACGCACACAGGCACACCCGTCCCCGGCCGCCGCCGCCGCCCCTACCCCCGGCCGCCAAAACTGAAGTGGCTTGTAATCCGACACCTTGAGCTAATCCCAGGATCAAATTCGTGCACCACTTGTTCCCCTCTCCAAAACTGAAGTTTTTATTTTTGTGTGATTTTCGGAGGCATTTTTAGTGATTTTTGGTTCGTCGAATTTGGTTGTGATTGGGGTGAAACTTCTTGAGGGATTTTGGTGCTAGGACATGTGTGATCAAGGCTAGGGTGATCCCCTAACAAATCCTTCACTTGAGCACCACGATTTTGTTTTTGGGGATTTTTCGAGTTCTCGCACGTGATCTGGATTTTCTGGAGTTTGAGCACGAATTGAGCGATGATTTCTTGGGAATAGCTTACCTACTCTGTGGTGATTGCCTGTGCAAAGTTTGGGGACGAATCGTATAGTTTTGGTCGAGTTCCCGTCGAATTTTTGGCGCTCGCCCGTGTCTGTTTCTTGCGCTCGGTCCCAGTTCGTAATTCTCAGGTGCAGCTCGCAGGCGCTGGTGCCTTCACCGGTCAAAACCTGTGTGTGCTCGTGCAGACCCGAGCCTGCTCCATCCCTCTGTTTGCAGTTCGGCGCGGCAGTGTCCAGTCCTCGCCGAAGCTCACTCGCCTCTGGTTGGCCGTGCTCAGCTTCCAAGCACCAATCGGTGCTCATCCAGAACCCGTGCACGCACAGCACCAAGAGCAGGAGCAGCAGTTCACATTAATTGGATTTTCAGCAGCAGTAGGCTTTTGCTAATTCCATTTTCAATCGGCAACTTGGCTGGCTTCTTTCTTTTGCCACAGGGTGCAGGTTTGCAATGCTTTGGATTCAGAGCAGCAGCTGGACATGGATTCAGTGCTTGTGCAATATAAGCACCTTGCTGTGAATTCATCAGTTTGAGCAGGTAAGCAACAAGTTTCAGTTCTCAAACTGTCAATTGTTACTTTTGTGCTTCACCGACCAATCATCCAGTAATTGTGACATGTTTGCCTGCAGCTCTAATTAATTATTATAGTGCTCGGTTCATACATGCTTGGAATTAAATACTTGTTTAATCCTTCCTAGCTTTGAAATAGGATGCATGTGTGTCGGCAGTAGAACTGCTTCTGTACCTTGCTAGTTCTCTAGATCGATTCTCTGTTTTGAAGTATTTCTTTGTACTGAACTTAGCATATCTACACTGTCATCTATTTAACCTTGCACATAATCGAAAGGACATGAATTACAGTACATTTGAACTATTTAATTGTAATTTATGCAACCTCTGGGCTGTTTAATTGGGCGTGATGATGTTGGTGTAATTTACATTTTTGTATATATGCTCCTAGACATTCACTAATTTGCTGCTTAATTGTAGCAGTATTGTAGTATTAGGTGAGTGTGTTTAAGGATAAGTTACCTTTTGCTGCACTTTATAACCAGAAATGAAATGGTTGTAGTAGGTGAGTGTGGCTAATGATTTGTGCTCTCTGAACTATATCTTTGCTTTCAGTTCCACACATTTTATTCACACTCTCATGGTATTACAATTAAACTGAAATGATTTGTGCTATCTAAACTATGTGTCTTACCATATAAAGATTATGTGTTATGTTTGTGAGGACTCTGGGCAGTCCAGACTTCAGTACATGTTCCAGCACAGGACGTCGGTGTCGCAGGCTGAGTGGAGCATGGCGTCCAACGAGTCGCTCTTCAGCATCCAGGGCGCCAGCGACCTGTACCCCGGCAGCAGGTCGCACTTCAACTTCTACTACTACGAGGCCATGGCGGAGGCGGCGGACTCCAAGCTGCTGTCCCAATGTACTGCACTGCACCGTGATGCCCGTTCTTGATCTTGTCTTGTCGGCAATGACCGTGCAAATTAAGCAATCACCTGCATGCAGACTGGCGGAGACGTCGCCGAGGAAGAAGGACGTCGTCAACAGCGCGCTGTACCAGCCGCTGGAGAAGGAGCGCGAGCAGCAGCCGCAGCCGCCGCCGCAGCTCGAGCCCCCGTGTCGGCCTTCATGGAGATGACGACGGAGGAGTGGCGGAGGAGCGACACCGGGTGCTGTTGCTGCGGCTGCTGCTGGCTCGATTGCTCCTGGTGCTGTTGGTGCCCGTGGTGGTGATGCGGCTGCTGCTGCAGCTGCTCCTGCCCCAGCTTCTGCCGGTGCAGCTGGTGCCTCTGCTCATGAGAGAAATTGGCATTTGGATCCGACAAACTTGGTGCCAAATGGGAGCTTTAGATGGGTATCTAACCTCCTTTCGGCGCCTCCTGCTTGTGTTTTCGGAGGATTATCTGGCAGACAGGGCTTGGCATGTGCACGTCAGCTGGAACAGTAGTATATGCTGAGAAAAAAATATTTTTTTCTTTGGAAAATAGGTTTGCCGAGTGTAATATCAAAAAAACACTCGGCAAACAGTAACAATATGCTGAGAAAAAAAATATTTTTTTCTTTGGAAAATAGGTTTGCCGAGTGTAATTCCAAAAACACTCGGCAAACAATAATCCTTTGCCGAGTGTATTTTGGAAAAACACTCGGCAAACTACTTTTTTTTGCCGAGTGTCAAATTTGACACTCGGCAAACCATTTACCGAGTGCGCGATAAAAAACACTCGGCAAATAGCTGTTTGCCGACTCTGTATATGCCGTGTGCTGTTTGCCGAGTGTTACACTCGGTAAAGCCTTTGCCGAGTGTTTTTTGGTCTTTGCCGAGTGTCTATGGCACACGGCAAAGTCTCTGTTTCCGGTAGTGTATCTTGTCCATCGTCTCCGACCCGTGCGTCGCCAACACCATTGATGTCGGAGTAGGCACATGCTTCCCCGACACCGCCCCCGTGTGGGACGGCGTGACCTGGCCCTACGACCCGGTCGAGCTGTTAACACCCCAGTCTCCTCTGGAGAACCCGGTGCAGTGGACCGTGGGCCAAGAAGAAGTGAAAGGAACAAGAACCCAACAGCAGGATTTTCGAAAATGAATGGGCTTAAGCGCCTGCGTGTGCATGTCCGAGCCTAGGCCCTGTAAGTGGCTGATACATATAAGTATAGCTGAGAGCTCGTGAGGGCCATCATCTCATTTGTAAACCAGACACATTCTACTTGGCTAAGATTCCTTGTCACGCCATCCCAACTCCTTTCGTTGCTATTCGTCCAACTCGATCCAGATTTCTTCTGCCTATCCCCGATTGCTCTTCCCCAAATTCCCTGCTGCTAACAATTGGTATCGGAGACACCGATTCCTCGGCTAATTTCCTCTTCATTCCATCGGTTGTTTGAGCAAACAGATTCGGTTGGCTTGATTTGAATTCGAGCAGCAAGCCTGATCGAGTTTGAATCGCTGTAATTCCCATCCACTCTTGAGCAATTTGTGGTGAGGAACACTCTGGATCGGCCCGCTCCCGATCCACTACCGCACGACTATTTTACTCGCCGTCAACATCGTCTCGGCGTCATGAATCCCGACACGAAGTTGATCCTGGACGAGATGCGCAAGAGCTTCGCCGACAACGACATCAAGTTGCGCGACCAGGAGGACCGCCTCAGCCGCCAGATCCAGGATTTGGAAAAGGCGCAGGAGCATCGCATTGCGGCCCTGTAGGACGTGGCCCGCAATATGGATGAGTGGCGCACCATCATCAACGGCACCGTCGATGGCTTACGTCTCCAAGTGAAGAAGCTTTCACTCGGTTGGGAGCGCGCGAGCATCGAGAACCCTGGCGACAAATCCGGCGTGTTCGCGTCGTCTCCTTCGGTGGCTCCGCGCCCATTTGCGGAAACAGCTGCCACATCGCCCGTCGTTGGGCACCTGCGTGAGAACAACCACCGGGCGAGTGGATTTGGGGATGTTTCCACCCTAATCCATTCCCCGGTCAAGGGTGAGCACACCAGTGCCAATTTCCAATTCGTGGCTTCCCATGCTATTCCTGATGTTCAATTGCCTGGAATTGCTTCGAATTCGAAAATCCCCAAAGTAGATTTTCCAAAATTTGATGGTGAACATCCCAAGCTCTGGCTGCATGATTGCGTGGATTATTTCAGTTTATACCATCTAGAGTCTAGCTCGTGGGTTCGTATTGCTCGTCTGCATTTTGTCGGAGCTGCCAAACGTTGGTACAATTCTGTTGAGTCTCAGCTTCAAGGCTGTAGTTGGGAGCAGTTATCTGAACTCATTTTGAGTAGGTTTGGGTTAGAACATCATGAACTCCTATTGCGGCAATTGTTCCAGATTCGCCACATAGGAACAGTAGATGAGTACATAGAGCAGTTCTCTTCTATTGTTGATCAGTTGGGGGCTTACCATAAAACCACTGATCCGCTATTTTACACTGCACGTTTATTGATGGCTTGAAGGATCATATCAAAGCCGCAGTTCATTTGCATAGGCCACCAAATTGGGATACTGCTTGTGTACTTGCGAAATTGCAGGAGTACTTGGTGGCGTCCCGTAAGCCGGAGGCGCGCAAGTGGGATGCTGCTATCGGTGGCCGGCCGTTCACACGTACGGCACCACCTCTGCCTCCTCCGCTACTTCGGCCTGACAAACCGGGGTCCCCTGCCGAGCCCCGGCCTGCTATCGATGCGGGTCGGGTATTGTCTGCTGATGAGCGTTGGGCGGCTCTGCGGTCGTCCCGCCGCGCTCAAGGCCTGTGCATCCATTGCGGTGCCAAGTGGTCTCGTGATCACCGATGTGCTCAGGTTGTACAGCTTAATGCCCTTGAAGAAGTGCTAGCAATATTCTCTGATGAAGAAGCCCTTGCTGACCCTATGCAAGTGGACGACGCTGAATTGGCAGTTATTCAGGTATCCCTATCCGCAGCTGCTATTTCTGGTAAATCGGCTCCTCGCACCATGTGTTTTGAAGGTCAATTGGGTGAACTTCCCATTCATATTCTTCTGGATTCTGGGAGTACACATTCCTTTGTTAGCTCTGCGGTGGCAGCCAAGTGCTCAGGTGTACAGACGCTCTATCCATCGTTGAAGGTTCGGGTTGCTAATGGTCAACAGGTTATCTGTTCCCAGCATTTACCTGATGCTCAGTGGGCTATTCAAGGTGTTCAGTTTCATTCTGATCTCAAGGTACTGCCATTGTCTTCTTATGACTTGATATTGGGCATGGATTGGTTATCTATACACAGCCCCATGAATGTACACTGGGCTCAACATTGGCTACAAATTCCATATCAGCAGAGCACCGTATTGTTACAAGGCCTATGGGCAGACCTCTCAGTGGGATCAGTGCTGCAGTTGAATCTGAATGAGAATACACCGCCAGATGTCATTTCTGAATGGCCTGTTGACATCCAAGATTTGGTCAAGCACTATGCCACATTATTTGACCCTCCAACTGAATTGCCACCACCTCGGAGCTGTGATCACGCTATCCCTCTCTTACCAGGGGCTAGTCCTGTGTTCACTAGACCTTATAGATTTTCTCCTGCCATCAAAGATGAAATTGAGAAACATGTCCATGAAATGTTGCAATCTGGGTTGATACAGAAAAGTTCCAGTCCATTCTCCTCTCCTGTACTCTTGGTGAAAAAGAAAGACAAAACATGGCGATTTTGTGTTGACTACCGCCAACTTAATGCCATCACACTCAAGAGCAAATATCCAGTACCTCTGATTGATGATCTTTTGGATGAGCTGGGACAAGCAAGGTGGTTTTCCAAGCTTGATCTTTGCGCAGGGTTTCATCAGATCCTGCTGCAACCAGGAGAGGAGTTCAAGACAGCGTTTCAAACACACTTCGGGCACTTTGAGTTTGTGGTGATGCCATTCGGGCTGACTGGTGCTCCGGGTACTTTTTAGGAAGCCATGAACTCTACTCTGGCCCCATTCCTCTGCAAGTTTGTCCTAGTGTTTTTCGACGATATCTTGATCTACAGTCGTACATATGAGGACCATATCCAGCACATCTCCCAGGTATTGCGGCTACTCTCTGAAAACCACTGGAAGCTGAAATTATCCAAGTGTGCACTTGCCCAACAGTCTATCAGTTATCTGGGGCATATCATATCGGGTGATGGTGTCTCAACTAACCCAGCCAAGATCTCAGCTGTTGTTAATTGGCCTACACCAGCATCTGTCAAGGATGTCCGCAGCTTTTTGGGGCTAGCAGGGTACTACCGGAAGTTTGTCAGACACTTTGGTCTTTTGGCAAAACCACTTACCACACTCTTGCATAAGCACACTGTCTTCCAGTGGACATCTGTTCATGATCAGGCATTTCAGGCCTTGAAGACGGCTCTTGTTTCGGCACCAGTGTTGGCGCTGCCCAATTTTGCCCGGCCATTCGCAATTGAGACAGATGCAAGTGCTAGTGGAGTTGGTGCTGTGCTGACCCAGGATGGTCACCCTTGGCCTACATCAGTCGTGCCCTCGGTCCTAAATCTCATGGCCTCAGTACATACGAGAAAGAATATATGGCCGTTCTTCTGGCAGTTCAACAATGGCGCCAGTACTTGCAGTTTGCTGAATTCACTATATTCACTGATCAACAAAGCCTGGTTCAGTTAACAGATCAGCGCCTTCATACCCCATGGCAACAGAAATTGTTCACTAAGTTGCTTGGCTTGTAGTACCGCATCGTTTACAAACCTGGTACTACCAATAGGGCAGCGGATGCTTTGTCGTGGAATTCTGCTCCTCTGTCGTCTTGCGCTGCTATTTCGGCAATCACCCCTCAGTGGATCCATAAAGTGGTACACGGATACTCATCGGATTCCCTCACTCAGGCTATGATCGCCAAGCTCCTTATTGATCCGTCATCTGTTCCTCGGTTTACTCTACGTGATGGGGTCTTGCGGTATCAAAACCGTATCTGGATAGGTGCTAACCCAGAACTTCAACAGAAGATTCTTGAGGCCTGCCACTCCAGTGCACTTGGAGGCCATTCGGGTTTTCCAGCTACTTATACTCGTATGAAGCAGCTTTTCGCTTGGACTGGGATGAAGTCAGCTGTCCGCAAATTCGTTCAGACCTGTCTCACCTGTCAACAGGCCAAACCTGACCGTGCTCGTCTACCTGGTTTGCTTCAGCCCCTTCCGGTACCATCCTCTGCTTGGCAAATCGTTTCATTGGATTTTGTTGAAGGATTACCTCGTTCGAAGCATGGCAACTGTATACTGGTGGTGATCGATTCCTTCACGAAGTACGGTCATTTTATCCCTCTTTCACACCCGTTCACTGCTGCCCGCGTTGCTCAACTCTTCCTCAATCAGGTGTACAAGTTACATGGGTTACCTGATGTTATCATCTCTGATCGAGACCGAATCTTTACAAGTGCTTTCTAGACTGAATTATTCTGCTTGGCTGATGTGCAGCTCAACTTGAGCTCCAGTT